GTCCTTTTGATGAGAATGCTATGTGGCTCTTCAAACATCTTGTAAATCAAGGATTTTTTGCATTTTTAGCATGAGCCCTGCAGCGATACTCTTTCGGGCAAGGTTTTGGGCTTGTGACAACTGACGATAGAAATTCATCTTCATAAATTACACTTAAACATGCTCATGCAATCCTTTTAAAGAAGGAGAATGTTTGACTACTAAATAATCTTGGCATAAATATAGTGATTTAATTCACATAAAATCATAGAAGAGGTTTCAGGAGTTAATCATGACGGACTTTGGAATGTATGCTCCTCAGATGTAGTTGCCAGTTCTCTGCAGCCCCACACAAGGCTGTCATATCGAGGCTGCTTCCTTTAAGATGCTGTCTTTGTTATCACAGAGGGATAGGTTGCAGGCTTATAGGTTTAGCAAAACCACATCTCTCTGGAAGGTTCTTTGAGGCTTTTACTAATGGGTGGAGTGGTGGGCCAAAATGTATGCATGATTATGGATGACCTGAGATGATGAAGTGCCCGCATTTCATCAACAAAGACTGACTGGTTCTGTTGCTGCTGTTGGGAAATGAAGCAGGGAAGCAGTGGAATGAGGCCGCGCCTGCGATCCTTGGGTTCCNCCTTCCTGACCGCCGAGACACCCCGCCCACCCCGTCCCCCGGTCTGGAGCACCAGGGTCTCGCCGATCCTGCCGATTCCAACGACGGCGAAGCCGACTATTGGTTTGTTTCTCTCTGCCGTGTCGTCATCTTGCATCGTGTTCGGGCAGAAAAATACTTGGTAGTAATATTTGGAAGAGTTTGGTCTTTGCCGAGAATGCTTGACTTATCCCATTCATGCTCAGGGCAGTTAGGAAGACAATGGTATTATCAGTTTTGAGTTGATGGTATGATGAGATGCTGAAGATGTTGCTGGTTTGCTTTTCAGTGAGGGACAGCTCCTCAATGCTTCCTCCCAGCCTTCACTCGTTGCAGAGAGAATGAGGGACCCAAAGACTGGTGTTGGTATGTTACATATTTTCTATGACATTTTTGCAACTGACTCATTTGTCATTCAACAGGTCCATGCGATGGAAAGCGGAGCTTTCGTTGACCTTTCCTCGAGTTCTTCCCCTTCATTTAATAATCATGTGTCCCATAGCTCAAATTTTACAGTCCTGGAATTCTACACGTATGTTTAGGAACGCTACCGGTGCAGTTTGGTCTGCCGAGTTTTACGTTTGTGAGCGGGGAGGCTGTGTTGTGGGTCCTGGGGAATGTGGATGGCATCCAATCTGCACCCCAGGCTGTCAGCCTCCTCCAGGTGAGCTGTTGGCATTTTAGTCTGTGAATTTTTTTTTCCACGAGGGATTTCCATGCTCAACATATGGACACATTGTCTCAATTTCCTGCTCGAATATCCTGTTTTGCCTGATTGAGTCTAAGAGTTACTCAGAGTCTACCTAAGCAAAATGCTTCAGCTTCATTCTCTTTGGATTGATTGTGTCTTGGGGTTTTATGTAATCCATTTTTGAGAAAATTTTTTTATATTCAAGTAGGTGAAAGCCTGTTGCCCTATTTACAGACTGCAATGCTCTGGTCATGCAGAATATGTTTGAGTTGTCGTCATTTGCACGTGAGAAAGATCGTGAGTTTGAGTTAAGTTGTAATGATGAGCATAACCATTAGAATGTATTTTTCTGGTACCAGACTCGAAATTATCACCAAGAGAGTTGGCGTGATCATCAAATGAATAGCTTATTGAAAGAAGCAGAAAGTTGCCTGTAACGGTTGTGGAATGCCTGTAATGGCAGCCAGTTGCTTATTCTTATGTGTGGAAGTGCTTAAAGTTGTTTTCTGAATTTTTTTTGCAGAATCTCTTGAGTGATGGATACATATACCATGCATCTGGGGACAAGAAGTTCCCCTTCCTCAATGGTTTCTACCTCTACTACTTTGTCACCGAATCTGGGAAGCTTCCAGGTAGGGTCGCCTGTCCAACTCTGTCTTGTTCGTTTTCCGATGGCGATGAAAATTGGGTGGAGTCGGAAGTAAGGGCATTTCATTGATGATGCAATGCACTTGATGATTGCTTAATAATTTTTTTCATTAGAACCAGTGCCTGTATTTAGAAAGCTTTAGGTGAGGTAATGAGCAAAATGTGTCAATCCCTGGAAAAATAGGAAAATGTGAAATCATGCAAATATTCTTGTGATAAATGACTTTTTTTTTATCTGAGTTTGTTTGTCCCTACTGAAAATGAATGAAAGAAAATGTTCTTTGAAATTTCATTTTCCCCAATTATTGCCTCCTAACCCACCCCAACAGGGTGAACTCTCTGCATCCCTCCTCGCTCCACAAAGGGTTAAATAATACTTGGCACGCTTAGATTTTGGGAGGATGCCAGGCAGCCAATGAAAAGTAAATGAGGGGGGAAGTGTTTCTAGAGTGGGTAAGGGAATGGAGATGGAAAAGACAAAAGGGAATGGGAGGAAAATTAGTAGATGTGGCCCCATCCTTCATAGGCCAGATATTTGACATTTTCTTGAGAAGGCTTGCTCGTGAATCAGGCTTGCCCATGCTAGAAGCTAACCGACCGAGCATGGTTTCTCTCGTTCTCGGAGCAGAAGCGGAGGTGTCTCTTCCCCGCCAGGACCTGGCAGCCTTTCAGCAGGACTTTGTGGAGGTGGAAACCCTGCCATACCCACCGATGGCTCCAGATCACGCGTTCCTCGCTCCGGAGACGCTCGCGGAGTCCGGGTCGTGGAGCCCGGGGACGTCCTTCAAGGAGGTCGACTTGGAGGTGGACGTGAACGGGAAGAGCGACCGCATCGAGTGGGCCCACGCCCGCTATCAGCGTCATTACAACCCTGCGGTTGCCTA